AGGGACAGTGCGGGAGAGGAAGATCCTGGATGAGATGGATTGATACAGTAACTTGGGCAATGGGTGTTGGTGTGTCGGAATCAGTGAGACTGACTCAGGATAGGGTAGGTTTCAGAGGTGCTGTACATAGGGTCACTACGGGTCGCAGGCGACTTGATATCACCTCACAACAATCAAATACATGGCATCAAGTCCTTGTCACGTGCAAAACACTAATGATAAGGAGCTGTGCTGCCAACCCAAAAGCACTCAGTTCAAAACCACCTTCTTACTGGAGCTCCCCGTGAAATATGCCATCTACGTCAAAGGTACTAAATCTCTGAGTCTCCTCTCAGACTCTGACTTTCCATCAAAACTAGTACCTCCTCTGAAACTCAGTTCATTCTCTTCATCTTGGGCACCCGAGCTGACCCTTCAACTTCTCACAAGGAAATGCTATCTGGACAACCCTCAATTGCTGTTTGTGGTTCTAGTGTGTCCCTCAGCACTGACTGAGGAAGCCTCCTCTTAGGCACGCACACCTTGCCACCACTGTGCGCTTCCTCCTCTCCCTCCAAGACGCAGGCAGGCCTCCCCTTACACCAAGTCCAACTTCTGCTTTAGGCCAATTGTGAGCATGCTGGAAGCCAAACTTCTAGACTTGAAAAGAGCCTTTATGAAGGCTCCTGGTTGGGAAGCGTGAGTCTGCAAGGATGTGGTTACCATACAGAAGAAAGGAAAGGTCAGGTTTCTATAAAACTCAGAGACCACAAGTGTGAGAAACTGCCCGGAAGAGCCCACCTCCTGGGGAAGCCACAAGAAGGGCAAGGGAGAGCGGCTGCTCTGTGTTCTCAAGGTGAGCTGAGACACGAATGTGCTGGACTATTAACCAAAACACCAGCAGGTCAAGTGCACCAGCCTCACTGTGGAGGAACAATGAGCAGCCTCCTCCCATGAATATTTACCACCTCAGGAACCCAGTCACAGTTTGCTAGGAGTCAGTCTTGACCCTGTGACAGCAGATTTGGTCAGTGGGTTTGAGGGGTAACAGTGCCCGATGCTTTGTAAATCTTCTACTCAGGAAACCTACCATTGTTGTTATGCGCCATCGAGTTGCCTGTGACTCATAGTGACCCAATGGACAATAGCTCTAAAGCCTGCCCTGTCCTGAGCCCATCTCACTGACCCCAACATACCTCCCCCTATTGCCCCAGTCACTATGTCAATCTGTCTCATCCGGGATCTTCCTCTCCTGCGCTGTCCCTCCACCCTTCTGAGCATGTTGTCTTTCTCCAAGGATCGGTCCCTCCTGGCCATATGCCCAAAGAACTACTACTTTCTTAAAATTCTAAAGAGTACACCTGGTGACCCCAGTGCACTACTGAGGAGACTTGCCTCAGGAGTGTCATCTTTGCAGGAGCAGATAACCAGGTTCCTCTTCCTCAGCACCACTGAGTGAGTTCACACCAACTCTTTTTTTCTTCTTCTCATACCACCACTTTTTAGTCCAGTAAATAAATGCAAACCATTTGGGCCATGGAAGTATGTAAACACTGTATAATCCAACATCTCCAGATTTATGGTGGTGGTGGTGTTTGGTGGTGGTGTTGAATGTCACCAAGTCAGCTCCAAGGTGGGATTTGGGATGTTCTAGCAACCACAATAATGTTCTGTCCCAATTTTCTGCAGTGAATAACCTGAGTGGGTGGGATTTGGCCATCAGCACTAATTTCTGGGCTCCACAAAGGCATTTGACTGATCATAATAAATTATGGTTAACACTGAGAAGAATGGGAAGCCCAGAACACTTAATTATGCTCATGTGAAACCTATCCCTTGACCAAGAGGCTATTGTGTAAACAGAGCAAAGAAAAGCTGTATGTTTTAAAATTAAGAAATGTGTGCATCATAGTTGTAGCCTTTCTCCATACCTATTCAATTTGTATGCTAAGCAAATTATTTAAGAAGCTGGACGTATGAAGGAGAATGTGGCATCAGGATTAGAGAAAGACTCATCAATAACCTATGTTATGCAGATGACACTACCTTGTTGCTGAAAGTGAGGAAACTTGAAATGCTGCAGAAGATTAAATACTACAGCCTTCAATATGGGTTTAATCCCAAAATGAAGAAAACAAAAATCCTTTCTCTAATCCCTGATTGGATCTAGGAACAGAAGATGAATGTTACATAAAATGAAGGAAATGTCATGAAAATGTAGAGTTCAGTTTAAAACGACAACAAAACTTCTCACCACTGGACCAATAGGCAACATCATGACAGATGGAGAAAAGATTGCAACTGTCAATGACTTACTTCATCTTACTTGGATCCACAATGAATACACTTGGTACCAGCAGTCAAATCAGGAGATGTGTTGCACTGTAAGTCTGCTGTTAGGGACCTCTCCAAATTACTGAGGAGCCATATGAAGTTTGAGAACTAAGGTGCACCTGATTCAGGCCATGGTCTTTTCAATCACTTGCTATATTGCTGAGAGCTGGACCAATGAATAAAGATGAAAGAAGAATTGATGACTTTAAACTGTGGTGTGGGAGAAGAGTACTGAATAGCCTATGGACAGCCAAAAGAACAAACAGATATGTCTTGGAGAACTTGCAGGCAGAGTTACAGTTAATAACAACTATAATCCTGTTAAACAGTGTGGCTGTGTGGCATGTGGCTGTGGTGGCCTTTTCACAAGTATCTGCTTCATTTCTTCACTCTTTTGGGTCTGAGTTCACAGTACTTCACACTCTGTTACCACTGAAATGTTTAGCATTCTAGAACCAACAAGCACTCCTCTTTCTCTCTCTCTCTCTCTCTCTCTCTGTCTCCTTTGCAGGTCAGAGAGGGGGAAAACTCCCCAACATTCAGCATTCTGATTTCTTAACCATGATTCCTAGGAGGTCCATGCCCAGATGCTCAACAACTGGACCAGCAGCATGCAAGGGGCTCTGGGGAAATGCACAGTAGATTACAGAGACATATACACATCCTGTCATTTTTTTTTAACTATCCTCCCTTCAAAATCTGACAAACACTATCTTCTCATGTGGTTCCTCCCTTTCTCAGCTTCATTCTTCTACCCCCAGGGTGGCTTTACTATCTGAGGTTCTGCTGTGACAATCCCCCCCCCTCACACCCAAGAACTTGACTTCACCCTGAAGGGCCACCTGAGTGTTAAGACGGTCAATCAGGCCTGTAGAGCCCAACAGCAGAGATCCTTTCCCAGATTCAGGTGCTAACAAGTGTGTCTGTCCACTCAGAATAAAGACATCTCTTGACGTCTGACTCTTCTCTAGAGACACTTTCTCAACCTTCCTGCTCTCCTTTGCAGATGATGCAGAAGAAGGTATTGGGTGTAAGTGTGGCTGAGATAACATTTAGCACATCAACGCATTCCTATCTTCTCGGAAAGGAGGCGTTTTTGAGAATCCAAGTATTGATTGTAAGGTCAGTAGTGGTCAGGCTGGTGAAGGGGCGCCTGATGTTGAATCTATAATGTTGGCTGGGAGCTGTGCAGCCCTAAAAAGAAGTATGATAAAGTCTCTGAGCAGGATAGTTGTTCCCAAACCCACAAGGGCTTCCTCTGACACTTTGGAATAAGGCCTGGAAAAAGAGAAGGAATGAAATGGCAGTTTTGGGAACCTGGAAGGATTCTGGAACTCAGAGACCTTATGCTTTTCATGTCACTCTCAAGTAAGATGATGATAGCGCTGAAAGTGTGTGGGCTCTACAGTCATGTCCCCTGCATCCGTGGGAGGACAGCCGCTGCTACTTCTCATCACAGCTGCAGCATTCAAGGTATTTTCATTCCACTTTTGACACCACCAACATCCAATCAGACCCCACAGACCAAAAAACACCCTCCAACTCCTTGTTGTGAGGCTGGAACCGATTCATAGCAGACCTTCCAGTGCATGTTCCGAGGCTGTAAATGGCATGGGAAGAGAGTGTCCATCTCCCTCAGAGCAGCTGGTGAGTTCAAACCACAGAGAAGGCGCGTCCTTCGGGTTGGCAGTCCAACTCCCAACTGACTAAGCCTGCAGAGCTTCTGCTCCCAAAGACAGGACCGTATAATGAGAAAATCCCAGACTCGGGAGTCACACCAGGAATCACACAAGCCCTAGCATGCATTTGGCTCTAGCATTTAACTCACTGCTTAAAGTCGGGCCACGGGCTCAATCTATCTGAGACCTCTGACAACATGAATTGGCAAAGCGACTACAACAATGAGCTCGAGGAAAAGTGATACTGAGAAGTCTACCATCCTTGGTCTAGAGGGGCCTTTGCAAGCTCCTGAATTTGAACAAGTAGCTCAATCCCTGAGAATCTGGTTTTCTCCTTTGGAAAATGGGAACCAAAGTCTTCATTTTGTCACATGAGTTATTGTTAAAGACGCAAATCTATGCTATCGCCCTCTAGCGTCGAGAGTCCTCATTACTAATAGGTTAGGGAGAGCAGAAAGCTCCATCCTCCACCCCTCCTCTGCTGTGTACCTTTCAGCTGGAACCAACTCAAAGCCGGCCCTATCCCGGGTTTTCAGAAGCTGTAGATCTCACGGGAGGAGACTACCTCTCTTTCTCCTCTCCATCCTCTTGTTTGTTGTTATTGTTAGGTGCCATCAAGTCGAGTACGACTCATAGCGACACTGTGAACAGCCAGCCTGAAACTTGCCCTGTCCCATGCCATCTTCTCTGTCTCTGAGACATGAGAATTGAAGTCACAGTGTCCATCCATCTCTTTGGGGGTCTTCCTCTCCTTCACTAACCCTTCATCTTTCTAAGCATGACGTCCCTTTCCAAGGAATAGCCTTGCCCAGCTACTGCCAACCTCCTAAGCCAAGGCGATGGTGGGGAAAGGTTAGCAAGCCTTCAAGATGCACACGGGGCGCAGACCAGTCTGTGCGCATGCGCCAAGCCGGAGCCACCACCACCCCCCCCCAGCACACTCACACCGCCCGCCTCATGAAGCCAGAGGTCACGAAGCTTTTACTCCTTTATTGTTCCAGGGGGGCTTCAGCGTTCATAACCGGTGGGGAGAGGGTTGACATGAGGGTTGTGGAAGAAAGTATGGTTACCGTCACCCCAGGAGAAGGGCTATGGAAAGAAGGCGAGCAAGTTGTCAGGTCCAGCGCCTTGGAGCCCCAGGACCCTCCCTATGCCCCCCTATGCCCACTTGGTGGCTCCTGACCCTGCGGCCGAGCCCCCCCAGTGCCCCCATACCTTAGTGCGGATGCGGAGGTGGTGGTAGGGGATGAACTCGGGGCGCTCTTGGTGGCCCGCGTGGAGCCAGGAGTTGAGGGTGCAGATGGCCACGCTGGGGATCGCCAGCACAAAGCTCAGGAGGCGCCAGGTGCGGGCTGGGCCCAGGAAAGGTGGAGGTGAGAAGATGAGAGGGGGTTCCCCGGGGGTTCAGGGAGGACTGAAGGACTGGGGATAGGGTGGGGTGGCAGGGTAGGGGGTGTATGCATGTGTCCATCCCACTCTAGTGGGCAGGGGATGGAGGTAGGTGGACAAGATCTGGAAGCTACAGCGCCAGGTCCCAGCCCCACTCACCTCCTGCCCCTCCGTGCCCTCCCTTGGCCGCTGTCGCCAAGCCCCGGCTCAGGGACCCCAGAGGCAGCGCCATCGCTGTAAGAGAAGCTGGGTACAACCACGCCGTCCTTTCACTCTCCTTCACCGAGGCCTCGGCTCCCCTCCCCTCTTTTTGCGCCAATCACCTGATAAGTGGGTGTCTATTTTAGGGGGTTTCTATATTTAACATGGGGCCTGGTGCCATGAACTCTTTTCTCTCCAGACAGCTGCTGTATCTGGCCAGTTATTCCGGCAAGGGGACATTTAAAGTACAATACACCATTCTTTTTGAAAGTTACAGGAAACAGTCCTGTTCAGTACTCCTCTATTTACAATACCTGGCACTCAGAGGCCTTTAATAAATATTTAATGATTTGTCCCTTCCTGTCTGTTTTGTGTTCCCTAAAATGTGTAATGATTGAAATTGTCAATTGTTTAATCTTTCTTGGCTCCACAATCAACATCCTTGGTACTAGCAGTCAGGAGACTATGAGAGAGGTACTGCACTGGGCAAGTTTGTTGTCAAATGTCCTCAATTTGAACTTGGTTATAAGTAATTAATTATCTGACCCACAGTCTCCCCCTGGCCTGATTTTGACTGCTGCTACTGAGCTTCTCCAATTATTTCTTCCACAAATGTAGTCAGTCTGATTCCTATGCAGCCCATCAGGTGAAATCCACATGTAAAGTCATCTTTTGTGCCTTTTAGAAAAAATATTTGCAAGAAAGCTCTGGTGGCCTGGTTGCAAGAAACTGCACTGCAATCCCAGAGGAGAGTGGTTCAAATCCACCAGATGCTGTACTGGAGGAGGGACAATCAGTCAGATCTGATTTGATGATACACACGCACACACAAAGATAAATTAGAATTTTTAAAAGAAGAGAAAAATATTTGCAATGAGTAAATCATTGAAAATACAAAAGTAAGTCGTTCTATTTCCAGCTTCATTTCCATCACCAAGCCCATATTTTCCAATTTCTGTTCCTTCACTTTTTCCTACTTTTGCGTTCTAGTCACCAGTTATCATTAACACATCTTGATTGCATGTTTGGTCAATTTCAGACTGCAAGATTAGGCAAAAATTCTCAATGTCTTCCTCTTTGGCACTAAATATAGGAGCATATACTTGGGTGTATCAGCTTGGGTGGGAAGCCTCTTGTGTAGGCAAACAGGATCTGATGGGCGGGGCTTTGTATTTAAAAGTACGTCTGGTCCTACCTATGAGTGAGGCTTTAGCTTGGCACAGTTGGATCCTGGTGGGTGTTTGTGATTTACTTAAAAGCTGGGGGTAAACTTGTTGCAGACCAACGGTAAAGTAATAATGAGACAGACAACCAAGAATGAGATGATGTTGTTGTTGTTATGTACTGTCGAGTCGCTTGCAACTCATAGCAACTCTTTGTACAACAGCCCTAAACTGTGCTCTGTTTTGTGCCAATCGCACTGTTTCTGACACTCCCATCCCGACTACCCCAGTCACTGAATCAAACCACCTCATAGAGGGCCTTCCCCTCCTGCGCTGTCCCTCCACCCTCCCAAGCATGATGTCCTTCTCCAAGGACCGGTCTCTTCTTACAACATGTCCAAAGTATGTTAGATGGAGCCTCAGAATCCTTGCCTCCAAAGAGTCACCCGGTTTAAGCCTTTCCAGGATGAATCTGTTTGTTTTCCTAGCAGTCCATGGTACTCTCAATACTCTTCTCCAGTACCACAGCTCAAAGGCATCAATTCTCCTTCTGTCCTCCTTGGTCATTGTCCAACTCTCTGATGCATAACAAGTGATTGCGAAGACCATGGCCTGAATCAGACACACCTTAGTCTCCAGAGAGACACCATTGCTCTTCAGTACTTTGGAGAGGTCCCTAACAGCCGACTTTCCCATGGCAATGCACCTTTTAATTTCCTGGCTACTGGTGCCAAGAGATAAGAGAGAATAAAGACAAGGGGCCAGCAGTCCTGATGACTGAAGCAACCAAGCCATGCCTCTCTGTGTATTTATTGAGGCTTATCAGGAAGGTAAACAAAGGATAATCACAAGTGAGTAGAAAACAAAACCAAAGGATCATGGGGAAGTCTTTTGCAGATAAGGTGGAGCTCTTTATTGTTTACCTTATGCTAATCTCAGGAGGGAGGGATTTAGTAAATACAAACTAAGAATGATGTTGACTCTTTTTTTTTTCCTGATCAAGCCCAAATTTATTCAATGAATTCTCGATGTTGACTCTTAAGGAATGCCTTAGTGCCTGATACAGGCCATGGTCTTTACAATCACTTGTTTTGCATCAGAGAGTTGGACAATGACTAGGGAGCATAGAAGCAGAATTGATGCCTTTGAG